CCCGACAGCGCAGACAGCCCCGACACCGACAATGAACTGCACTGTATTAACACTGAAATGGTCAAATACAAGTTTGCTGTCTCTATAGGGTACGTAGTGTTAAGAACAAAATTCTAGATTATCGGCATAAACGTCAGGTTCCTAGCTGACAGCTGTCAATTTCACTAGGAGAATGGATCTTGGCGCGTATCCTGAGTCCTGACGAGAAATGTTGCTCTGAGTGTAAAGCGACAGTATCAATTAAATAAGTTGTCTAAAAGTAGCTATGTTTTTACATTTAAAAAATTATAATAATCTTCTAAGGGAATCCATTATTTTAAAATTTTGTTGCTGTAATAATAGATATCTCGTATAAAGTAAAGATCGTATAATTTTTATAAAGGTTAACACTATCGTTAAATAAAGTGAAATTTCTTTGAAAAATCAGTTTGTAATATAATATCAGTGTAACCATTTATAACAAATATAAATTTATGGTTGAACGATCTATGCTTTACAGTACTTTGATCTGTATTCTATCTAATTTCTTTTGGCAACTCAGTAACTAAGTTTGTAGAAGCCAAGTTTTTTCTTTCCAGAACATTCATGTTTAACAAAGAAAATGTATTAAAAGATTGTGTGATCACAAACAAGTTGCCGGTGGACCAAGAGAAATCCTCGGATACACCCAAAAAGAAAACTAATAAAATCAGAGTGTTAAAGAAGCCGGAGGAGTTGCCCAAATGTACAGTGAAAAAAGAACAACTGGAGGCAAAAGATAAAGGACCCCTCAGATTAGAGGCGAAAGTACTTTATTATCAATCGCCTTCGCTAATTTATTTATCACTTGTCCATCAACAGCAGACATTCAACACCTTATTTGAGAATATACAAAAATACTATTCAAAAAAAAAGGCTCAGAATAAGAACAACTGGAAAGTCGGAGACAAGTGTTGTACTATGTGCCGACAGTCGCAGACGTGGCGACGCGCTACTGTACTGGACGTGCAAGGCGACGACGCTAAAGTATTTTACTCCGACTTCGCTTGCGTCGAAACAGTCCCTATTAACACTTTGAGGGAATTAACTCAGGAGTTCTCTGCTATCGGTTACGCTGCTATGAAGTGCCATCTCTCCGGCGTTGTGTCCGCGGACGGCGAGGACTGGCCTTCACTCACCAAGGAGTATTTAAAGGAATTACTCGATGCATACAAAAGAGTATTCATAACGAAAATGGGCAACTTCAAAGATATGAGTATGCCGATAGAGATGTGGGTGTACCACACTATACAGGGCAGCGCGCTCGAGCCCAACACCTCGGAGTGGCGTTGCCTCAACAACAAGATTGTTGAACAAGGATTGGCGATACCTGATAAATCTCAACAGGTAAGCCTTTGTCTAGAAAATGTTTCTTAAATAAGACAAATCCTATGTCTAGATGATCTAGACTAAATGTTTCCTATTAGCTATTTGTTAATAGGTTGTAATGACAACTTTCAGTCCTTTTAGATAGCAAACTATATGAATATATGTAATTCCCAATCTATACCAATATTATAAAGATTTGAATTTTTGTATGTATTGAAATAACTCTAAAACTACTGAACCGATTTCAATAATTCTTGCACCATTTAAAAGCTAAATTATCCGTGAGTAGAATAGGCCATTTTTTTCTCCTCTTAATACCACGTGAAGGACGCTTCCTTATAATTTATTAATATTTTTAATCACTATTTTATTTTTAGGTCGAGACACCTAACGATAAGGACAAATCGGACGACAATATGTTGTCGTTCCTTAACGTTAAAGGCTCCGTAGAAGAATGGCTGCAACTGGAACCCATGCCTACGAAACCTCTTTGCATCGACCCGTCTGACAACGAGCGATCTAACGCATCCTCACCTGAATGCGAAATTAACTTCGCTGATGATAAAGCAAACAAAGCTAACACCGTCTTCATATCTAACTGGATGCCTCCGGAACCACCTCAAAACAAAGAATTCGTCGGTGTGCCAACGTAAGATATTTTATATTTAAACGAAAGTATTTTTTTGGTAATAATAGGGAATATTTTTTTCAAACGATTCTACTTGTTATAAAACAACCAGAAAAAAAAATTGACGCGAAAATATTCAAACATTGAGCTAAAAATAATAAAATAAAATTACGACCATTTTCGAGCGACTAAAACGCGACCAGAGTTGACATGAGACAATTGACGTCAATCGTCTTATTCCATTCATAACATACGCTGAGATGTCACTTCGATGTAAAAACAAAAAAGTATCTCAAGGTCAAAAAATCAACAATCGATTCATTTTTATTATTCCTGGTACAAAAAAAAATTGTTACAATTTGGCGTCATATGTATATTGCCTATTGTAAATTGATCACTTTAGTTATAGATTTTGTAATATTCTGATCTATCGACGACAAAAAATTTTGTATATAATGCAATTCATGTCAATATTCCCCAACTTTGCTAAACATCATTAATACTTAATTACATAACATCTTAGAAAACAGTAATTTACATGGCGTTATTTCCACAGGTATGTAGATAATGATGGCATCATATATCTCCATGAAGTCTCACAGCAAGAAACATTAGAAATGATACAAAAAGCATTGGATGTTCGCTTCAATAAGCCCGATCATAAAGCAAAATACGCGTCGTGGTCAGTCGGCGAGCCTTGCGTCGCCATGTACTACCTGGACGACAAGTTTTACAGAGGCCGTGTCTTAGAAGTTAACAAAGAAGATTCAACATGTTTAGTGCATTACATCGATTATGGAAACGATGAAACTTGCAGCTTCTCCAACCTAAGGAAAAGTATCGCTCTCTATCAACTACCCACACAAGCGCTTAAATGTGTACTAACCCGCATTGAGCCCGTCGACAAATTCTGGGACAGACAAACTTTGGACTACATGCACAAATCGATCGTGGAAAAGAAATGCTTTATAAAAATAACAGGAAATCCAATTGATGGCATTTATCCTATCGAATTAACGTGCAATAAATTATTGTTTAACGATCATTTGGTCGAATTTGAAATGGCGAAGTATAGTGATGGATCGAAAGCGGTAATAAGGAGATTCGCTCCTATCGACAACCAACAGTTCGAACTAGATGAAACCGCCACGATCGAATCGGATTCTGCCCCGGATTATATTATCGAAGAGGATGATATTGAATCCGCCAACGACTCCTATTGTATGGAATCTTTGCAGGGCAAAGATTGGAATTTGTTAATACAGGAGGAAAAAGATAAAAAGATGCTTTCGGGAAAATTTTTATCTTTTAAAAAGAACGTGATTGATAGTGATGATAATTTCATTTGTAACATCACGGTGATAAATGACTTTAAATGTTTCGAATTGTTTATATTGCACGATGAAGCAATTATAAAAGAATACGAGGATATGTTTGAAAAGCTGCAAGAGATTGCGAGCGATATGCCGCCTTTGAACGGAATATTCGAGAACAAAGCTTGCCTTGCTATTTTCAACGAAGACGGCCAGTGGTACAGAGCCTCCATACTCCAGTACAGCAATGATACTAATCAAATTAAAATTAGATATGTTGACTACGGTAATATAGAACTCGTTACGTTGGCTGACGTGAGAGAGATCAACGAGAAATTCATTGATTTGCCACCGTTGACGGTAACGGCTACTTTGCACGACGTGCAAGTAAATCCAGCAATCGAAACTAGTGTTATTGCGGAGGAATATAAAAATACGTTCTTAGATAAAGGACCATTTAATGTTAAAGTTATTGATAATGTAAACGACATTCCTTCGGTGGAGTTGAGAAATGAAAAATCAGAATTAGTTTATAAGGACCTTATTGAAAATAATATTTTCTTACGTTCTAGTGATGAGTGACTGGCCTTAGCTGCCTATGTTAAAATTTGCATATATTATGCTATTATCGTTATGACAGAATTTAATTTCGTTATTTGTTATCTTTAAGGCTGATTTTTTGTTCTATATCTGAGATATCTTTGTAGCAATGAATACAAAAAATTAAAATTACAAAAGTAGTAGTTTTTGTACCAACTTTCTTCCTTACGGGGCCTTGCACGCGGCAAGTTGATTTTTGCGGATACAGATAGAGTAAAAGTCAATATAGACAATGATTTATTATTATAGTGTAGAAATCCTAAAAGAATTCCGGTTTTTGTTTCGGACAAATTGCAACTAGTCGTAGCGGGGCTCCACTGCCTTTGGCAATTTTCATTGGCATCACTAACGCCGTGCAACCATGATCTAAAAAAAAAATAATTGTTAAACAGCATTTGCTCTAGATTCCAAAAACAAAAAACATGTTCTCACGGAGCCGCTTTCTATGCCTTGGTATAACTAAATAACAAAGACATAATAATAGTTATTTATTTTAAGCCTATTCATAGCTAATGTAGTTGTTGATCATTTAACAATCAAACTAAATAATAACAGAATAGAATCTGTTCCGTGAGACCTAGTTGAAAAAGAAAACTAAATGGTCTTATGTCCCCACCTGGAACTGACCTCTCCAAGTTCACATTCTCGATATTGTAAAGCCCAGCTCTTGAAAGTATTTTGTGCACAGAGAAATCAGTGCTTGATCCGGGGTCGACAGACGCCACATCTACACCTACGCCAACGACATTTTTGTAACTAGTTACTATCCATTCGGCCACTTCGGCACTCAGACCTAAAAATTAAAATACACAGTACATATGTATAGATGGGTTATGATGTAGTCCACAGATTTCAAATAATTAGAATTAATCAACAACAAACTAATGTACCTGGGAAATTCAGCCCTCCGTTATTTATTCCCAAATATCTCTTCTTATCCCAAGAAAATTTGCTCCAACCAAATTTAAATATAATTATACATGGCCTGCCCAGGTTGTCGTTCAGCATGTAATCCAAGTGGTGCTTGTAGAGAACGAAATTTGGGTCATCATTAACCTTGGAAGCTATGTCTACAATTATAACTGAAAACAAAACAATTACTACTTCGGATTTGGAAATCGTGTAATCCTAAGAAACAGCACATTCTCAGAAATACTAGGGTATATAATAATAGTGAATAGATTTTTTTCCTATCAGAAATCGATATTAACCTTAGGAATTATTTAGGTATTTGAATCGCTTTAATAAAAGTAGCAAACTTACGTGGTACTATGAGTTTATTGAGTGGGATCTGTCCAACTTGTAGACCCTGGACCGCAAAATGATAAGGAGCATCAATATGCGTACCACCATGCTCGCCAGCGGTAAAGTCGTTTGAAGCGTACCTGTAACCCACATAGCATTAAAACTACGGTACATATTACGACTACTTCAGAAGTTGTCTCCTTATCCATGGATTTACTCTTTCTATTTCGTACGTCGTTGCGTCTACTGCCGTTCTGGTATGGTCGTGTGTAAAGCGTGCTAAGAATCCAGACTTTTTCGACAGACGAAAATTAGGTATTCGTTTAATTATGACATCACTAGCTTTCGCCCGCGACTCCATCCGCGTGGAATTTAAAAAAAATAAGTGGCCTATGTGTTCTTCCCGACTATCTTCTACTTCTATGCCAAATTTCATCGAGATCCTCTTAGCAGTTTAGGCTACTAACCTTAACAAACATCCATAAATCCATCTAAACTACACATTTATACAATTAGTAAGATTGTCGACTAAACTGTTCTGTTGCTGGATTACTTTGACTAAACTGCAACATGCCTGATCGATTGAGATAGAGACCTCTTTTTTTTTCACCATTGAGTATTTAAATATTTCTCTGAGCACTATCAGTATAAATAGTAAGTGCACAATTAGAATTTTGGTTCATTCACTTTGAGCAAACAAGCAAGAGTCGAACAATGATAATAGACGATAACATTGGCCAGAGGTCAAATTAACACATTTGAAATAAATAAGTATGTACATAATAATTTTATATCAACCAGCCTTAGAATCAACCTTATGTTTTTTTTTATTGTATCTATAAATTAGATATTTATTCTGCTTATTTGTTAACTTTAGCTTTCCAGAGAAGACGAAGAAACAGATATGGTTTGAAAGATTATGTATGAAAAGTACCATCTCTAAAAATAGATGCGCGTGTACGGTTTAAATTTTTCCGTTTTCATTAAAATAAACATAGAGCATCTTCATCTCGATCCCCATCTTACGCATGTAATTAAATAAAAAAGGCAGTTCTCATTTAATCACAACTTAAGAGATGGAGAAACTGTACAGGCTGGTGCTCAATTGCGATTTACCGTGCAAATTATTTAGGACATTATTCTGGATTTCTCAATGCAATTAATGGTGAAAAAAAAATTAAATTACAGAACGGTGCTGGTAGCTTACCATGAGCCATCACGTTGAAACATTGCTGTTTTCTTTGTAAATTTAAACTCTTCACTACCAAGCCAATAAATTGTTTGATTATCAAATGGATATGTTAAATCGATAAATTCGTAATCTCCACTAAATAAAACTTCATTTAATCTTTTATCCGCCAATGTACAACCAAGTAACAAAAACCACAAAGCCGCGAGTGTTAGGTAATCCATAATTAAGCAAAACGTTTCTGTTTGTCGTATCTTAGCTTCGATGAAATATAAATAGAGAAAGCGACAAACACAAAAAACAAAGCTAAATACTGTTCTCGTGATTATATACTTATATGATATATATATGATTATATATATATGCGTCGCCAGCCGTTGGTCTAGGGGGGAGTCACCCAATTGTCAAGGGGGAGGGACAGGCCGATGATCAAGGGGGGCTAGTGGTAAACATTTTTCGTATGAATTCTCTTCATACATGCTTATCATAATGTGATACAATGTTATGATGAACATCTTAGAAGTAGTTTTTGAGTTGTCTATGTGAGTTTCTAGTTTAATTATTACATATATTTTACAACTTTCGAATTTCTAGTAACTCGCTAATTAATTAAGAACTTAATTAGTAGCCTTCATATTTTTAAAGGCCATATACTATACAACGTGTTTGCCAAAAACAGCCACTCATCGATTTAAGCTTTCGGCTACAATATTATGATATTAGTAAGATAATGTTTTCAATAAAATGATTAATGATAATAAAATTTTAAGCAAAAATTTTACTGGGTGCAGTATCATGTCCACTGCTTTTGCTTCTGTAGTGTTAACTGTCAATGAAATTATGTCACTGTCAACTGCCAATAATGTACGTTTTTGGTTTTTGTGCCTGGTGCTTGTAAACAACGTTACTGTATAATAAAAATATTATTTAAAATACCTATTGCATTTTGAATTATATGTCGATGAAGAGAACTCGTAACGATGCTGTTAAAGCGGCTGTTGCTTCCTACTTAGAACGACGAAATTATCCTGTAAGTATTTTGTCATGTGTTATATATATCAATAACTCTATTAATGGATATTTCATCGAAATAATTATTGCAGGACATTGAAATATTTAATAATAGCAATTCCACAAGTCGCAGTGCTGAAGAAATGGCAGTCGCCACTATTGTTCAATGTGAATCAAGTCGAGCAAACTCCATCCTCTTTTCTTGCATTAATAATGATTCCGCTCAATATGATGTACAATATACAAAGTAAGATACATTTTTTTCACCTTAAAATCTTCATCGTTTCATTTAATTTTAATGCTGATGTACTTAATTTATGTTAATTATTTCAGACTGTTTAATTACATTAAAGAAATAAAGATAGAGACAGTAAAAAATGAATTGCTTAGTTTATTAGCACCATTACTATGTCATCTTTATTTGGAAATGCTTCGTGGAGGGCATGGCGGGGCCGCACAAATGTTTCTCAAGAGGCACATAGCAACATTGCCACAAAAAGATCTGTCATATCACCAACCTATTGATGGAAACTTACCATCAGCATTATACAGACCAAATAGCTTAGAACAACTGTTTAACTCTTTGCAAAATGGTACAATTGACAATGAAACTCCAGAAAAGGATTATATGAACCAACTGTTAGATGATATTGGTACAGTATATACATTACAGGAAATAGAATCAAGACCTACTATAGCAGCTTTCAGGTAAAGCACGTTTTTGTAAGTTTTATAAATTTAATCAAACCTTTTTTTATCAACAACTACTAGCTATGAGAATTACTTAAAAACCATTAGGCTTATTTCTTTTTATTTTTTATAAAAGTATGTATTTACCAAACTTTTTTTTACATGTTTATTGTTTTATAGGTCTTGTAAATATGATATTTATCTATCACAAGATTCTCTAAACATGTTGAAGGCGTATTTAGCAAAACATGGTCATGTGTTGTTAATACAAGTTTTGCAAACTTGGTTCCACATTGACATGAACAATGATTCAAATAAAAAGAATTCTGTAAGTATCTTTTTATTCAAACAAAATATGAATTCTTTTCCACAATCATTATATTTTTTTCTTATTAACATTTTTCAGGAAGATGATGAATCTCACAATGAAGATGTCAATTCACATACAGTGAATAATGATGAAAAGCCAATGGATAAAAACGGTATTTGATACATATAATAATGAATTAATACTATTAATATTTATTATAATGAAGTTTTTATTAAGATCAACCTTAATAAATAATTTGGAAAAAAAAAACTTTTTCTAATCTGAATACCAACAATAATATAAAACAGATCAATAAATATCAAGACAATTTTATTTATTTGCCTTTAATCTTTTTAGATATATTTTCAAAATGCAATGGTCATGCAGAATGTCAGAATGTGGATAAAGATCTCAGAGAACTGCAGGATGCAATAAAAGGTGTTAGAGAATCTATGGCACCACTGAAATTATATAAAATAGCTGCACCAGATACTCAGTAAGTAACATTTGTTATTTTGATACACTCAAATATGATGATTTAGTGACAATCTTGCTTGTTTCTGCCTTTGTAATGAAAAAAAATGTATTAATAATTTTAATTTTTAAATGTTGTTCCTGTGATCCATTGTTCCAGCTTAGTGTGTGCTAAGACGGATGCAAGCTGCAACCTGCTGTGCGGTGGGTTTAGCAATTCGGAGATCAGGTTATGGGAGCTTGGACAAAACAATGCTAAGCGCAGGATTAACCGTAACATATCAGAGATAGAGCTCGCCTGCCATGTGCCCTCTGAACCTGAAGCGCCAGATGATAGCACCTTGTAAATATATGCATCTCTTTTATTTTTTTAAGTAAAAAGAGGAACATTGACATAATTACGTCTATGGTTTCACAATTTTAGCCAGATAGGTACAGGGTTGCCACTACGAGGACATTCTGGCCCAGTGCAAGCAGTTAGCATTTTAGCAAGAGAACAACTTGTTTTGTCTGCATCACATGACAATACTATGAGAGCCTGGAGACTTTCGGATTACTCTTGCGCTTCTATATATAGGTAAATTGAATTTGGTTGTTATTAACAGGTTTATTTTCCTAAACATATTATTTTGATTGATTAACGCATTTTGATTTATTTCAGAGGTCACAATTATCCCATATGGTGCATGGATGTGTCGAAAAATGGTTTATTCATTGTTACCGGGTCGAACGATAAAACGGCGAAATTATGGTCCCTCGATAGGACGTTCCCTGTTCGTGTATTCGTTGGACATATGTCAGATGTCACGGTTCGTTACAAATGTAATATTAATATATATATAACAATCTTTGGCAATGATTCAAGCTACAAGATTGTCATTATCCGACTTGGGAAGGACCAAGTTCTTCACTATAGGGTGAGTTATTGTTGTCAGTGCGTGAAGTTCCACCCGAACGAGGCGTACATGGCGAGCGGCGGCGCGGACCGCAGCGTGCGGCTGTGGGCGGTGTGCGACGCGCGGCTCGTGCGCGTGCTGTGCGGACACCGCGCCGCCGTGCGCGCGCTCGCCTTCGCGCCCGCCGGCACGCACCTCGCCAGCGCAGGTCAACAAACTAATACTCTGTATCCATTGCATATTGACTTAAATGACTTAAAGTGCGACTGATGATGACACAATTGACCAAAAACCAACGAATAGTCTAAAAGCAATTAGTTATCCTTTAATATTTGAATAAATGTGCACAGGTTTTAGTTAAGTCATCGAATTTTAACTTACCATCACTTATGTTAATAAATTAAATGGCTTATATGTTTCTAGGTGATGATAAAAAGATTAAAGTTTGGGATCTAGCTGCTTGCACATGTGTACAAGAACATCGGGGGCACCATGGTAAAATAACATCATTGGACTGGTCAGCAGTGGGCAAAGCGAGTCTCACCAATAGGATTGTGTTAGACCCCAGCAATACTTCTGTTGATAATTCTCTCTTATGCTCAGCTGGAATGGACGGAGTTGTGAAGATTGCATGGGATAGCCATTCTAAAAACAAGTAAGATGTTTCAAAATGTTTTCTCATATTTTAGCCTATAGGTTCATGATAGAAAAGACAAAAAATCATTAACATTTTTATTAATAAAAATGTTACATTAACTCAAATTCAATTTCTTTCCGATACACAAATTACTACTACATTAAAAATAAATAACAATAAGACAGACTGAAAAGAAAAAAGAACTTATTCTCTTATATTTTTTCTCATTCGTTCTAATAGAAATAATGGCTTGCATTGAGTTTACTTGGTAAACTTAACTTCATCATAATTCTAAACCAAACACAAGCTAAAAAAAAATATCTGAAGCATTTGGTACATTGGATTAAGTGAAGAGTTATTAAATGGTATAGTTTTGTTGAAATAAATGTATTTGTTTCAGGCAAGCAACTAGTCCAGATATGCTGACCACGACCTACAATACAAAATGCTCCTATTTAGTTGATGTACAAGTACACCCAGAGTGGCTTGTTGCCATCGGAACTAATAGATAAATACTTATAATAATGTTTACATACATAATAAAAGAATAGTATCAATAACTTGTTTTCTTCCCAAAAACAATAACACAGTGAATTTTAAATACACCATGATTTATAATTGATTCAGATGTTTTAACAAGCAATGTATATAAACTTTCCCTTTTATATTAGTATATGAAATAAGATAAAATCAAGATTTCTTAAAAAAGTTCATTAATGTTTGTTGTTTTCCCGATTTAGGAGGTGAAATCTTTTTCTTTGCATGTTTAACTTCATTTTTCTTCTGTTTCGGTGAAGTTTCTAGTTTAATTTTTTGAACATGTTTTGTTGCAACATTTTCTTTACTTATTTCTTCCTCATTTTCTGAACAACTTTCATATACTTCTTCCTTCTTTGTTAAGATATATCCATCTTCACTAGTGTATGTTTTGTCAACAAGCTTTCTTCTCTTTTTAGGATTGAGGATACCTGATGTAATTTTGATTGTATCAATAGTTGGAGTGGGAGGTATTTCATCATCAGATTCATTCTGTACCTCTGTTTGGTCTTCATTCACAAATGGATCATTATCAACTTCATTCTCACTCTCACTATCAGATTGTACAACAATTCTCTTCCTTTTTTTGTCAACTGTCATATTTTTCTTAATATCAGGTGATGTTTTCACTTTACTAGAATTATCTTTTTTATGGTATTTGTTAGTGGTTATATTGTTTTCAACAGCTTTTTGTACTTGTTTATCTTTTGAATCTGCTTGTACATCAGACATTACAATATCTTCAGATGTGTTTTCTTCTTTTATTTCTGTTTTTGGCTTATCTTTTGCAGTGTTTAATTCCATTTTTCTCTCCTCCGTCACATTTTTATTACTAGAATTCTCATTTGCCTTACTAAAGAACCCTGCAATACCCTTTTGTTTTATGCTAACATTGTTTACCTTTTGTTTGCTTGTTGTACTCTTTTTTGGAGAACAATTTTCACTCTTTATATTGTTAGCTAACTTTGTTTCAGAAGGCCTAGCTTCAACTTTTTTTGTCTCCGGTTCCTTAGATGATTTTTGTATATCATTTTCCTTTTTAATTTTCTTCTGGACAGTATGTGTATTGTTTTCAACATTTAATAAAATATCTTGACTGTTAGATTTGAGAGTTCCTATTTCATCTGCTGTCCGCTTTATGCAATTATTGTTTTTTATGATTCCAGTACATAAAATCAAGTCATCTAATTTATTAGTAGCTAATAAAGACGCATTATCAAGAATGGAACTGCCTTTGGCAACACTGTATATGTGTGCGTAAAATATTGTCTTGAAATCCTTCTTAAACGGTTCCAGTTCAGCTTCAGTGCACACTGCTGTTCTAGCTGAATTCTTACTGTTGAGACCAGACACTATATAACTAACTGTAAGATCAGCTTTAGGTTTTTTCTGGCGCATGTCATCAACAAACTGTTGCAACAACATTTTACTTTCGTTTACATGAATACAAAGTTCTTTGCTTAGAGAAATATACGTTACTAGTTTTTCTTCGTCTAGTATCATATCTTGTAACGTATTTAGATTTGCCATTATGTTTTCTCCTAGAAGCACATTAGATATTCTTAAAAGAGCGTACTATTAAAAAAGGCGTTTGAAAATTTTAGCGCATATATTTGACACTGACAAACAAATATTTGACATTGACATATTAATCATGACTTAAAGTTTGTTTTCTCATTTTCTAAAGAAACTCTAAACTCCCAACTCTACGAGGAACCCAGTTGTTTTTATTAATTTTTATATCTTAAAGTGGCAAGCAGCCACATGAATTCGCTAAAATGGCGAACGACCACTGCCCATAGACATCCTCGATCACAGAGTCGTTGGCTATCTTTGTTTAATCTTTGTCGTGACATTTCTAGGAAATAAAAATAAAATAATATGTTTGACGTTTATGGTTTATGAGAACTTTGCTACTTTAAGCAAACTTTAACTTTATTTTACTTTTGCTTTGGATTTACATCTAGTTTTATTGGCAATACTTGTAATTAGATTAAGAAATTTATAATTGCCAATCAAGTAAAAGATTGTTTACGTTCGATTCAGCAAATACATCCGTAAGTATTATTACAAACATCTATTTTGGTACATTACATCATTTGAACTTGTAAAAGAAATATTTTAAATGCATAGTTTTATGAATTTGTTTCATCAGGGTACGGGAAGGGTTAATACACTTGCCAGAGAAGTTACTGAGCAACGTTTGAGTATATTAATATTGACTTAGAGGCAAAAATGCCAGGGTAAGCAACTCTCGAATATTGGGAGTGGTCCACTAAAATGGATTCTTAAAACCCACTGCCATATGTTCACAAATCATGTAATAAATAGTTATTAATATCACAATTCATGTAACTACAGCTCTAATAAAGTTATCTAAACTTTAACTAACTTTTGAGTACATAACCAGCCTCATAGTTTATTGAAATGTGTCAAAAAAAATGAAAAACAATCTTTCAAAGAATAGTTCAATATATGGGAGGTCAATTTGCTTGTTTGCAACATGAATCACATTCATGTGATTGATAATGATGTCATTCAAGGAAAAATACAGGATACAATGTACTTGTGAGGATAAAAATATGTGTGAATTATCCCTATTTTATTTAATATCACAAAGATTAGTAGTCAAAAATGACCATATACAATATTTGGGTAAAAGAAAATTAGCTGTTCTATAAAACTAAAAAAAAATTTCAGATAAAAGTTATGATGATAAAGAGAGACAACTTAATATTGTTTTCATAGGTTGCATGTTGCAATTCATATATTGCATTTAAGTAAAACTTAGTAGTAGCTAGTAGAAAAAAATGTCAACAATTGGTAGTTATTAACATAGTACTGCAACATTTAACTGGAAATCACTTTCTTATACTTACATGCTCATTAGCTCATATATTTAATTTAACACTTCTTTTGTTCACTGTTATTTTTGTACATCATCCTTTCAAACTTATATTTTCACCAAAGAAGGCACAAAACAAATTTACCTAATTTTCATTGACTGTTCCAAGATGATGGTAAAAAAGTTCAAACCATGTTTATTTTTCTGGTTTTAAAGCAAAAAAAAATATTACCTTAGAAGTGATCAATTTAAAACTTTGTATGCTTTACTTATGACATCTCAATAGGCAGTTGATTTTGTTTTATTTTAAGATTCTCATGTTAATTGAAAAGAAACTAATTGAAACATTTACCCATTGTTGGTTCCTATTAGATTCTTTCACAACTAAAAATTTTTGTATGCTATAAACATGTTCCAATTTAACATCACATAATATTAGTCTAGTAACACATATATTTTTTTATTAATATTTTCTTATTTATTCCTTTTAGAATTGCTACCATGTCTTTAGACAATATGTTTTGCACCCGTTGTGGGGATGGCTTTGAGACCAATGAAAAGATTGTCAATTCTAATGGAGAGCTTTGGCATACTAACTGTTTTGTGTAAGTACTTATTTGTTAAGAAACAAAAAAATTGATTAGAATTCATGTTGAGAACTTATTGGTATATTTTAACTATTGTACCTATTTTTCCACAAAATGTATGATTTCACAGATGTGCGCAATGCTTTCGTGTATTTCCCGAGGGTGTATTTTATGAATTCGAAGGTCGTAAATACTGCGAACGAGATTTCCAAGTGCTATTCGCCCCTTGTTGTGGCAAATGTGGTATGTATTAAAATTATTATATACTTCTAATAGTTTCAAAATTAACTATACAATTTTCCAAAACATAGGTCTATATTAGGTTGTATGTATAGGTGAGTTTGTGATCGGGCGTGTGATAAAGGCGATGAATGCGAACTGGCACCCGGCGTGCTTCCGGTGCGAGGAGTGCAGCGCGGAGCTGGCGGACGCCGGGTTCATCAAGAACGCCGGCCGCGCGCTCTGCCACGCCTGCAACGCGCGCCTCAAGGCTGACGGCCTGCAGAACTACATGTGCCACAAGTGCCAGTCGGTACCACAATCACTGTTCCTACTATCACGATTATTAAATCTCTCAAATATTTACTACTAAATATTACCAGTACCAGTTTTAGCACTAATTAACCTAATTTTAACAACCTTGGCGAGATTTCTACGCCTCTGGAGGGGATAAGTAA